GCGCACACAGACTCTGAGCCCACGGCAGGAGCTGGGGCAGCTCCTCCCAGCCAGGAAACTCCTGGGGCAGGGCAAACCCAGCCCGGAGTGTGGGCAGGGTCTCTCTGCAGCTGCCCCTGGCTGGGTACCCCCTCTGGGGCTGCATTGCCACAGGAGACAGCTCAGGAGAGCCCTGGCAGGGAAGGCACAGCTCCAGGGCAGAGCTGGGACGTGCAGCCAGGCTCCAAACCCAGCCCTTGGTGCCAGGAATAATCCGTGAAGACCTGAGAGAAGCACCCGAGAGGTGGGAGCAGCCACGCTGACAGCAGGCCAGGGCAGAAGGCAGCCTCATAAAATGAGATTATTTCAAATACATGCAAATTCAGAAAGCAATTTAATGACCTGAATTCTTAAAGTGCAGCCATGGGCTCAGAGAGAACTGAAAGGAGAAAGGAACAGAAAGTCACAGCTAATTTCCCCTGTGTCTGGGCAGAATTTTAACAACACAAAGCTAATTTCGATTGTTTGATAGAAGAATTATTGTTGAGTGCTGGCCCTTTTTATGAAATCACATGAGCCTTTCTCCCTGTTCTTTTGTGTGCTATCTACAGTTGAGGAAAATCTGACTTTGCAGTTCTTAATTAGGGGAGCAACATCTGTTTGCTTCATTTCCATAATTTTACATACCCCGCTCCACTTCAAAGCACCAGGAGCTTTGCTCTGAACATCTCCAAAGCTCTAAATATCTTCCTTTTCCCCCTATATTTTAGCCCATTGTTGCAGTGAGGCAAACAGGGAGTTCTCAGAGCTCTAAAGGGAGGGAGGGAGAGGAGCTGGAGCTGGGGCTGGGGCTGGGGCTGGGGCTGGGGTGGCTGCAGCTGGTTCCTCTGCTCTGGGGTGTCCCAGTGAGTTTGTGTGCAGCCTTCAGCAGTGATTTTGGGTGGATTGTTCATCTCAGGACCTCACTGTGCCCAGCACTTTAATTTCTGTGGATGAACATGCCAGAAGGACAAACTCAGCCTCCCTGATTGGATTGCAGGGGACCAGGAGCCCTTTGGCTTCTCCTGAGGCAGCTTCCCTGTGGCTGAGCAGGAGCACAGGAGTGACTCAGGGTCACTGAGCGGGTCTGGGGGCAGAATCTCATCTCAGGGGGGTCCCCAGAGGCAAACTCATCAGCTGCATCTCCTGCCTTCCTGCTGGGCAGGGGCTGGGACAAGGAATCCAGGCCAGGAAAAGGGGCTGGGACTGTTTCTTCAATCCCATGAGGAAGAGGAAGAGGAATAATCTCAGCACCAATCTTGGCCCAAGCAAAGTCCCACTCCTTGTCCCATTTCTGGTTTCTGTCTCATGCAGGACCTTGGGAATGTCTGTCCCAGCAGGACTCTGCTCTGGGCCCGTTCCCATCTGGGGCTGGTGGGAAGCAGGGTTTTCTCCAGAAGCAACCCACGGGACTTATATTGGCATGTGGAAACACTGTGTAAATGAGGCAATTCATTAGAACGGGGAAGTCAATTAATTTTTCAGTTTGCCAACCAGTTACAGTTTTAAAAAATGGTTTTGAAAAATTCCTCTCCCCTTCCATGGCTGGAAGAATGTCTTCTGTAATCTTCTGCAGTGCTCTGGAGGAGAAATTTGATATTTTCTTGGCAAATCAGAAGAGAAAAATGTGATCTAATGAAACAGCTAATAGAGGCAAGCTGGGCTCAGGAAAACAGTGAAGTGTAATGTGATTTCAAAGGGAAAATGGAGTGTTCTGGTTTAAAAAACAACAGAAATAATCATTCCAAGGCTTTTACTGGTATTACTTCATCAACTTGACACAAACCTAAGGAGCTTTGATCAAACCACTTCCAGTAAATACCAGGCACGTTTGGAAAGCATCAGCATGGTCTGAGTTCAGCTGGGCTGTGGAGCCCCTGGAGTGCAGCTGGGAGCTCGGGCTGGGAGACATCCAGGGTGGTTTCTCCTGGCAGTCACAGAAATGCACTCACAGAGATTTCTACAAGGGCAGCTTGGAGGCACAGCATTATTCTCTCCCTAGTGAGGAATCCACGTGCCAACACAGACCTCTGGGCACTGAGCAGGAGACCCTCAAAGCTGGGTCCCATCTCGTGTTCCATTACTTGGAGCAGTTTCTCCCACCTCAGCAGCTCAGCTTTGCAGTCCTTGCATTTACTCTTCACCCAGACTGCAGGTGCAGGAATCAGTGTGGCTTTCCAGCTAGCTGAGGTGGCCTGAGAAGGAGGGGAGCCACAATGCAGGGATCCAGGGAGACCCTGCACTGGGAGCAGCCCCAGAGCCACAGCCAGTGACAGGGACTGGGAGAGGGGGATGGGATTTGGGGCACTGGAAGAGTGGGATGGGATTAGGGCAGGGAGAATGGGATGAGTGGGGGCACTGGGAGACTGGGTACTGTCTCTGTACTGTACTGGGAATGAGGTGGGGCACTGGAAGAGTGGGATGAGGTTAGGGCATTGGGAGAGTGGGATGGGATTAGAGCAGGGAGAGTGAGTGAGATGGAGCACTGGGAGAGTGTGATAAGGTTAGAGCAGGGACAGTGGGATGGGATCAGGGCAGTGGAAGAGTGGAATAAGGTTAGAGCAGTGAGAGTGGGATGAGATAGGGCACTGGAAGAGTGGGATGAGGTGGGACACTGGGAGAGTGGGACAAGGTGTGGTTATACCAGCACAGAGCAGTGGCTGCTTGGAGCTTTGGGAAGCTGTTCCTCACTGCCCTGCTCTGGCCCTTCCCCTCAGGCCGGTTTTATCTCGGGACAGCAGCTTTGTCCCTGGCTGCTTTGAGCTCAGCGTGTGTCCCAGGCACAGCCTGACCTTGCAGTGCTGCAGGAGCTGCACATGGCCCATGCTGGGATTTGTCCCTTCAGCTCCAGGAAGGGCAGGATTGCAAAGCTGCAGTCCCAGTCCCTCTGTGACTCTGGAATGCTGCAGCCTGGCCACCTCCTCCCTCACCTGCCAGCTGCAGTCAGGCAGGTTCTGCTCTCTCCACACACAGTCTGTGTCTCTGAGTGTGCTTAAGCAGCTCTTTGGAGCTCATTTTCTGTGATTTTAGCAAATGTGTGTGTGTGTGTGTGTGTGTGTGTGTGTTCAGTCAGTGACCTTCTGTGCCAAACCCCATTTAAAGGTGCTGGTGCTGCCTCTGCTGTGCCTGGCTGTGGGAAGGACTGGGATCTGTCTCTCTGGGGTTATCCAGAGTTGTTCCAGTCCAGCATACAACACACAGCCATTAGAGCATTCCTACACTTACACTTCCAGCCCCTGGAATGACTTGAGCAGCTCCAAATTCTGCTTGCCTTCAGGATCACATCCTTCCTGGGCTAGAATCTTGCTCTGAGTGGGAAACAAAAGCTTTCCTGCCTTTTGTTTTTTTGCAGGGAGTGATTGGCAGTAGGCACAACAGCAGAGCACTGAGCATCCCATCCCATTCCCCACAGCAGCCAGGTCCCGGGTGCACATCCAGGATCAGAACTCTGGCAGCATTTCAGTGCTTTACCCACAGAGCCCTCAGAGCCACCCCCTGTCCTTTGTGGGGTGACAAAGGCTTGATTTGAAAAAGGGAAGAGAAAACCATCAGCGTGTTCTGGCAGTGTCTGCAATTTCAGTCAGATTGCTCTTTCCTTTTTTATGGGCTTGGCTCAAATTCGTGTCTGCTGGTTCCTCCTGCAAGGGAGGGAATGTTTGGGAACAGCTTCCTTTGTCCCTGAGCTCCCTCCTCAGCTGTGCAATCACCTCTGTTCTGAATGTGCTGTGCTTTCTCACTGATGTTTTTCATGGGGGTGGTTTCTGCACATTCCATGCTTTGCAGCAAGAACTAAACACATTTTACCTTCCCAGCATCACAGTGGGAGTGACTGGGATCTTCCTCCTGTTGTACAGTTTCCTCTTTATTGGTGCAGGAGTTGTTTCACCTTTTTCTGCTGCTGGATTTGGAACTCAGTGAGTTATATCCAAGGCTCTGCTGTTTCAGAGTGGCTCTTTAGGAGACCAGGTGCCACCTTCCCTCTCCAGTGCCATTCCAGCTCTCTCCTGGCAGATGTTTGATTTTCCATTTGGCTGGACTAAGAGGCATGTCCTTAAACTCTTACTCTTTTATCTACTGCACGCTTAAAAGCTACATCATGCAGTAAAAAAACCAAACAATCATCTGGATGTCATCTAGATGTGCCTCAGATCATAAAGATCTGAGAGCTGGCTGGGTGGGGTAAAAAGGAAATGCCTCTGGTGCCAGGCCCTGCCCTGGCTGGCTCTGTCCCTCAGCCCAGGAGTGCATCCCTCCAGTGCCAGCTGCACTCCCAGGCTGGACAAATCATTCCACTGCATTTTCCAGCCCATTGCAAGGGCAAAGAGCTGAGTTAAACTCTGGCTGCAGGCTGGGAATCCAGCTGGAACCTTCCCTAAAGCTGGGGTTCCAGGGGCACAGCTGCTGCAGGATGCCTGAGGGTCCTACCTGGCCCAGCTGAGCTTTTCCAGCTCCACAGAGCGGAGCCACAGAATCATTCAGGTTGGGAAAGACTCCAAGACCAAGTCCTGACTCACAGAGAAGTCTCATTTCAAGTGAACCCCTATATCTGACTCCAAAGTGACCAAGGCACCTGAGACAGGTGAGGAAAAGGTGAAGCTGAAGGAGAGTGGCTGAAGACTTCACCGGGTTTATATTTGTGAGGTTTTATTCTCTTTTTCTAATGGTGGCTGAGGTGCAAAATGGGAATCCTCCAAATCCATCAGCTGTTTGCAGCCAGTCTGCCACATTTCCCAGCAGTGCTGTCACTGCCTAAGGATGCGTGTCCCGTTGGATGTGCAGCTCTGTGTTCCAGTTCCCACTCTGTGGGACCAGAAGCAGATGTGGTGTTTGCCATCTTGCTGCTGGGCAGAGGCTGTGCACTGACCCCCAGGGGCTGTGCAGGGAAGCAAGGGGAGGCATTGCAGGGGAGTGGGGCAGGAAGCTCTGAAACCCCCATGCTCTGCCACCCACAGTGACCCTTTCCCTCCTCCCTTCCTCCACAGGCAAGAAGAACTCCATCCTGCTGCACAAAGTGCAGCACGACCTCAACTCGGGGGTGTTCAACTACCAGGAGAACGAGATCATCCAGCAGATCGTGCAGCACGACCGGGAGATGGCTCACTGTGCCCACAACGTGCAGGCCGCCGCCGCCGCCGCCTCCACGCCCACGCCGGTCATCTGGACGCCGCTGATCCAGGCCCCGCTGCAGGCCGCCGCCGCCACCACCTCGGTGGCCATCGCCCTGACCCACCACCCGCGCCTGCCCACGGCCATCTTCCGGCCGCCCGTGTCCGTGCTGGGCTCCCTGGGCCAGCAGCCCAGCCAGACCCCCCGGCAGCTGAAGAGATTCCAGTCGCTCATCCCGTCCGCCGGCCCCTCTGCCGTGGGCTCCCCGTCCAGCACCCCGTCCCAGCTGCACACGCCGGGCGCCGAGACGCCCTCGTCCTCCTCGTTCCACATCCAGCAGCTCGCCGGCTTCTCGGCCGCCGCCGGCCTGGGCCAGTTCCAGGTGGGGTCCCCTCTGGGGGGCTCCGGCCAGCCGGGGCTGAGCAGCACCTCCTCGGTGGGGCTGAGCCACTTCCAGAATGCACCCTCTGGGTCACCCTTAGGCGCAGCTCAGCCCCTGCAGCAGCAGCAGCAGCAGCAGCAGCAGCAGCAGCAGCAGCAGCAACAGCAGCAGCAGCAGCAGCAGCCAGCCCTCTCCAGCAGTGGATTTGGGCACTTCCAGCAAGCCTCAGCCAGCTCCCCATCAACATCCCTCACCCAGCTCTCATCAAACTCCCCCCCCAGTCTCCTGAACCAGTTCCAGCCCACCACGAGACCACTGCAGGGGGGACAGTCGCAGCAGCTCTCGGGCAGTGGGACCCTGGGGGGACTGAACCACTTCCAAGCCCCTCCTTCTTCCAACTCTCCATCCTCCAGCCTCAGCCAGCTGGTGCAGGCCTCGGGCGGGCCGTCCGCAGGCCTGTGCCAAACACATCCAAGTGCTTTAGGATCTCTGACTGGAACGATAGCCCAGCTCCACCAAGAGCGGCCTCCCTTCGCCTCCGCGTCCCCGCTCCAGCAGCCCGGCATCGCCTCTCCCTCCTACACCCCTTCTGGCCTTAGTCCTCCCAGTCAGAGCCCGGTGGCCACCAGAACTTTCCAGAGCGGCCCTGGCGGGGCCTCGGGCTCGCAGGGCTCGCTGCTGCTGCCGCAGCCCGCCAGCCCCCCGGCCCAGCCGCTGCCGGCGCGCGGCGCGGTGCCGCCGGGGCGCCTCAACCAGGACATCAAGCTGATTTCTGCATCCCAGCCCTCCCTGCCCCAGGAGCTGGCTCAGACGCTGGGCCGCCACAGCTCTCCTCATTCCTCTAGAGAATCTGTTTCCAGCTTCTCCCCTTTCCCGGGCGGCGGGAGCGGACTGCTGGGGAGGCCGTGTAGCTCCATCCCCGGGCGGGTGACGCTGCCACGCCAGATGTCCTCAGGTTCTCTGCCACACCCGCTGGCCTTGGGAGCCGGCGCCGCTCCCCTGACTGCGGGCGGGCGGAAAGAGTCCATAGTGCTCACGGGGGATCTGGAGCCCGTCAGGTCCAAACTGCCCTCCAATTTGTGAGGACTCCTGGAGCAGCTGCTCCTGCCAGCTCTGCCCTTCAGTTCCTGATGAGTTCACCGAGCAGTTTTTTCCTTTCTTTCCCTCTGCACCACTCCTGCTTTTTTTTTTTTCCTCCATTTCTTTTGTTTAGGTTTAACTGTGCTTAGAAACAAAGAAAAAACACATGAAAAACAACGGGAAAAAAAAAAAGAAGATAACCAGGTATTCTTAGAGCTATAGATTTTTTGGTCACTTGATTTTATAGAATATTTTAATACACAGGAAAAAAAGGATACGAGCAAATTTAATCCAACGAGGTAACGCACAGCCGGGGCACGTGCCTGAGCTGGAACACGTGAATGAGCAGCCATAGAAGCCACCAAAAAGGTTTTCCTGTTGAGACAAAGCTCCGAGGTTGATGTGGGCCACAGAAGGGCTCGTGGGGTCAGGCCCGGAGCTGGTGTTTGTAGAGCAGCCCTGGTTGGCCTCAGCTTTGCCCCAGCTGTGACCCCGGGGCTGCAGACACACTACAAGTGTCCCTGCCTCCCTGCCAGGTCACCTCCTGCGCTCAGCAGGTCACAGAGGAGCCAGGAAGGGGCGAGTTCACTCTTTTAGACCCCTTGAGGGATTTCCCAGGGGCTGAGATTTGGGTTGGACTCCAGCTGAGGAAGATGAAGGTGACCAGGAGATGGATGGGTCTCGCTGCAGATTGTCCCTTTCTTACTCCACTGATGCTGCAGTGGGAGCAGGGAGCAATCCCTGCAAGGCACAGGGAGGGCAGGGATGATCCCTCTGTACTTTGATGTGGGCAGAGGGAGAAGCCAGCACAGGCAGAAGGCCCCGAGCTTCAGCCTCTCCATGGAGCGTGCAAAGCACGGGAGGGATGAAGGAAGAGGCAGTTCTTTAACGTCCCCTCTGTCACTTCAGCGTCGCAGTGTCCCTGGGTGACTGCTCTGAGGAGAACTAGAAAGGACTGAGCAGTGGGTGCAGTCCCCAGCCCAGGGCAGCGTGAAGGCACCAGGACAGTTCCAAGATTCACAACTCCGTTTTTACCATCAAAACCAGATCAGCCCAGAAATTTGGCCGGCCTCGGTCTGTGCTTGTCCCCTGCTGGGGGAACCGAAATCTTTTGTTTGATTTCACCAGCAATAAGAGCCTGCAGCTGGTGGGCTTCCCCTGACACCCTGCAGGCCCCCGGGCACAGCCGGGGCTCTGGGCTGGGCTTTGGGCTCCCGGCCCGGGCCGTGCCGGTGGGGCGGGACAGAACGGGGCCAGCAGCACTGAGCAGCCACAGCCTTTACCTCCAGGGCAGTCTCCTTTTGTGTCACTTCGTCCTTCCTCTCTGTTTGGGTTTTTCTTAGGCCAAGGGGTGTCTGTGGCCACCTCACTGTCCGAGTCAGGTGCTCAACTTTTCTAACGCTCCTTAGAGACACATCCAGCCTCCCTCTGTCCCCAGCCCTCACGGGGACAGGACTCCATGCAGCAGTGCCAAAAACTTCCCCAGCCCATCCCGAGCCCCTCCAGCTCCCTGTGCCCTGCCCCCAAACCCTGGCTGACAGTTTTTATACCGACTTGTCTGCAGAAGTCTCTGCCACGTGCCTGCACCTTGAATGTTGCATTCCTGGGCACTCCTGCTTCACCCTGCTTTGGTGGCTCCGAATTCAGATGTGATCAGCTTTGGTCTTCCTTAAAGGATCAGGGGAACTCTGGAAATGCTTTTTCTACTGGCTCCATACAGCTCTGTCTGTGTGAGTGTGGTGGGAGGGTGAGCGTGTGTGTGTGTGTGTGTGTGTGTGTGTGTGTGTTTGTATAGATTTTATAGATGTATCTATATCTACACACCTGCTTTTCTATCTGTAGGGTAGTCACACACATCTGTAGTCTATTTATGCACATGTATCAGCACACACACACACACATATTTATATATATATATATGTATATCCTAGTTTTAAAATACGTGTCAGTTCTGACCCTCCTGCAGGGCTGATTGGCAGGTGACAATTATAACCTCTAGATCCTGCTTTTCCAAATATGTACAGGTTCATCTTGAAACAGGAATTGAAGCAGACTCACAGACCCTCTCATGTTTTCAGAGGTAGAAGGAAGACTCACAATATCCTTTTCAGTTTTTTGGGTTTGTAGCCAACCTTTCCCCTGTGTGCCAGAGGGCCCCTGGCCGAGCACCTGGAGAGTTTGGGGGCTCCGTGTGGGGCTGGGCTGGGCAGGCAGGGGGGAGAGGTCTCCAGCCCTCCTGGGCTCCTGTCCCGTGGCTGCTGCGCTGGCCCCGAGTCCTGGTCACCCTGGGGACCCTCAGGGGACACCCAGGGCTGGCACTGCCCCCTCCTCACTGCAGGACATCCTCCTTGGCTTTGCTTCCCTCGGGGATCTTCTTTGGGTTTCCAGCTCTCAGCACTGCAGTAGCCAACTTTGAGTTACTCTGACTGGACCCCAGTCAACACTAGGCTTGTCTCAGTAGGTGGAACTATATTTATTACTATTATTATTATTATTATTATTATTATTATTATTATTATTACTATTATTTGGTTTCTTTTGGGGGGAAGGGAGGGGAAGAGTTCTAGGGGTGGGGTTTACAATATAAAACACACAATAAAAACCTTAGTAAATAAAAATGTGAAAAACCCACCCCTCTGACTTGCTGTCTGCTTCACGTGGTGAACTCCAGGCAACACCAGACGAGCTTTAAAGGAGGAAAATCCCATTTCAGCCCTTTGCTTGTCCTGTCTCTATCTTCCTGCTGCCTTTGGAGCTTTGGCAGGGTGTTCACCACCTCACACGTTCTGTATTCAGCCACTGACACAAAAAGTTTAAAACTTCCACCTACACCTGAATTTTCAGCAGGCCAAGGGAGAAACCTGGCAGTTGTTTTGCAGATGTGTGCAGGAAAATCCTTCACTTTACTGCAGACCTGGGAGCTGTGGCTGCCTGTGGGATCCCTGGAGAAGGAGCCCTGCACAGGACAGCCCCTGGCAGCAGGAGCCACGCAGGGAGGATGCCAAGGCCAGGAGCTGAAGAGTTTTAGGAAGGTAAAAGTGGCCTCAGCTCTGAGCTTCCATTCACGCCTGCAAGGCCCCCTGGGGGTCTCTGTGTGACTCCTGGTGGGTCACCTTGTCCTGGAGTTTCCACGAGGGAATTGAGGCTAAAATGTTTGGGTTGCCTTTCGGGGTGGGTTTGTAGGCCAGGCTATTTTCCATGCCTTTCCTATTACAGAGGGAACGGGTTGTTAGTCCTGCCCAAGCCAGCATTTCCTTTAAAATTAAGATTTCCCAGAAGATTTGTAAATTTGCAAGGTTGGACTGGAAGAAAATCCAAGTTTTGAGCTGTCAAAGCACACCTGGAAGGCCTGGCTGGTTCAGCACAATGTGCTGCCTCCTTGCCTCACTGCAAGGACTTCAGAGTGCACTGGGATGATTTGGCCGTGGGGAAAAACATCCCCAGAGCCAGGGCACCGTCCTCAGTGGGGGGGTCTGCCCCTCATCACCACTGCCTGCCCCACAGAGCCTCAGGACCCCTCCCCGGGGTGGGGAGCAGCAGCTCTGCTGGTCTCTCCATCCAGCCCCAGTCTGGGCAGGAATTCATGGGAATTTCATGGGAATTTCAGCCTTGTCTGGGAAGCCTGGCCTGGCCCAGCAGTCTCTGGCTTTGGGAGAGGCAGCAGCTCCCACACTCACAGCTCTTGCCCCCTGTTGGAGATGTTGGGATGTGGGAGCTGACAGAACCCAGCAATTCCCAGCAGTGCTTTCCCAGGGCACTGGGATTGGTTGGTCCCTGCACCAGCCAGCCCTGGGCAGAAGGAAAGTGGTGCCAGGGCCTGAGGAGAAGCAGGCTGGGGCTCAGCTCTCCCTTGGGAAGAGGATTTTCCTCCTCTGCAGCCTCCCTGAGCTCTGTGCCTGGCAGGACCCTCGGGCTGTTCCCCAGTCACAGCCACCATCAGGGACACCCTGCCACACCTGTGGGATGTCCCCAGGAAGCCCCAGGCTGGGGCTGGGGTTGGGCATGCCCTGACTGAGCCCTGTTTCATCTCCTCTGCAGCTCCAGGGATCTCCCAGCGCAGGACCAGCAAGCTCAGGTATCCTGCAGGGTGTTGCTGGGAATGCCCAGAAGGAAAAGGGAGCTGCATCTTTTTCCTCCCTGCTAGGGAGCCATGAGTAAGTTGGGAATGAGCCCTTTAAAGCAATCAATACAGCCGAGTGTGTGTTTTAGCTAACATAAAGAACACCAGACAGTTTCACCCCTGCCTCAGGGTGAAACCTCGTCCCTGCCACCCAAGGCACTGCTGTGCCAGTGCCAGGAGCTGTGAGCTCTGACCCTGTTATTCTGTGGGACAGGATCCCTTTGGGCAGGGGGACATGGCACGAAGCAATGCTCCCAGCCATGGCCACAGCACAGAGAGTCAAAACCAGGGGGGGCAGCTCCTCCAAGACTCCCCCAGCCTGGGCAGAGGGCACATCTCACTGCCCACACCCCTGAGCGGTGGCAGGGGACTTTGCCAGCTCCTTGGGAATGCCCTGCTGCCAGAGCCAGTGCAGCATGCCCGGAGCTGCTGCTGAACCCTGTGCCAGCCCCGGGTGGCTGGGGCTGCAGGGATGAACCCCACAACTGGCAGCACACGTGGCAATCCCTCTTTGCTGGATGCCAAAGACTCCCCCCGTGCCCTCTGCCCCTTGCAGGCCCTGGCTGGGCTGACCTGTGTGAGGGATTGGGGGGGATCTCTCCCTCTGCTGGGCTCTGTGACTCCCCTCTGCAGGGGGGAGGAGAAGCAGGGCAGGGCAAGCTGCAGCTGGGGTTTGCCCTCGGGTTGGAGGTGATCCTGCAGCAGCTTTGCATCATCCTGCAGTCCCTTGGTCGTGTTTGTGCCTTGCCCCACACAGAGAAATGCCCCACTGTGGTCCCAGGTTTCCTGTGTGCCTCTGGCCCCTCTGCCCCGGTTTCTCAGCCCAAATGTACACTCAGAAACCTGCAGAAATGAGATGAGGCTGCTCAGGCACGTTGTGAGTGACACTATCAGCTCCTGGCAGAGGTGCAGCCTTGGCTGGACACTGCTTTTCCCAGGGGGGGATGCCAGGGGAGAGGCTGGGCCAACCCAAGGTCCCCAGGTCAGAGCTGAGCACCCGCTCCAGGTGTGCTCCGTGTGCAGGTGATGGCTGCAAGGACGCTCTGCCCTCCGTGCAGAGGGCACAGACCTCAGGGGAGCAGTGCCTGCTGTCCCCTGTCCCCAGCCCTGTCCCCGCACCCAGGGGTGCCTGGGCACTGCTCCTGGATGGGCAGGGGGTCTGCAAACCCATCCCCTCCCTGCCTGCTCTCTCCCCTCGATGAGAAGAGGCTGGATTTTAGCTCGGCTTTCTGTACATTGGTTTTGTCAGATCACTTGCAGAGCCCCCAGACATTGTGCTGCACTAATTCCAGCGCCCTTTGCCTAAACCCGCACCCGGTGCCGTGCGGGGCCCGTGTGCTGAGGGCACATTGCTGCCCGAGCACCTCTGCCCACGGCTGCAGTGCCAGGCAGGAACGAGCCCCGAGGGATTGTTCACCTCTCCCTGCTGCCTCACACCCCTCACACCCAAAACAGCTCATCCCGGTGCTCCTGTAGCACTAAGGACGCTCCCGCTCAGCTCTACAAGGATGCTTAAGGCGTGGCTTTAATCAGCGCTGACATGAAAGCTCCACTCCACAGATCCCAACCAGAGCAGGGACACCTGGAGATGCTCGTGGCACAACCCACACCTTCTTTTCTTCCCTCTCTCCAGCAAAGTGCTCTCCTAAATCACAGGGTTTGGTTGAAGTGGTACAAAACCAGGCAGACACCAGCCTCGGGCACTCTGGAATATCCTCTGGGAGCCCGTGAGTCACAGCACGGTGGGGACTCAGCATCCATTTCTAATTTATCGTGAGGCTGTTCTTTGCTTGATGGGTTTTATTAGATCCCAGTGGCTCTCACAGATCAACCTTGGCTGCCATCCATTAACACCCCACTGCTCCCTGCCCCCTTTCCAACCCAGCTGGGTGGGCAGAGACAGCCCCAGCCTCGAGTGGCTGGGCTGGGGCTCAGAGAAATGTCCTGGAGCTGGAAGGGCCCTGGCTGGGGCTGGAGATGGGAAACACCTGGGCTGGAGATAGATGGGAAACACCTGGGCTGGAGATGGGGAATATCTGGGCTGGAGATGGGAAACACCTGAGCTGGAGATGGGAACCACCTGGGCTGGAGATGGGAAACACCTGGGCTGGAGATGGGAAACACCTGGGGCGTGTGGGGCACAAGCAGGTTCCAGTTTGGCTTCTCCCAGTCCAGTTCCTTGCAGAAAGGACCAGCAGCTTCTCCTGTGCCTTCTTAGGTAGGAGTGGGGGGCTTTGGGGGTGACTTTCCACCTGAACTTCACCTTTTGGGGGTGCTGCTGGTCCTTCTAATTCCTGGCTGCTGGGGGCAGCTGTGAGGAAAGGCTGAGCCCTGTCCCTGGGCTCTGTCCCCTTGGCCACTCCTGCTTCTACCTGGTGGTGCTCTGGGGGCTTGGTTGGAATGGAAGGTTCTGGAAGGTGCTGGATCTGGGGATTGGGCCTGTCTGGGGGTGCCTTGTCCCTTTTGCTTTCCCCACCCGCCAGCACAGCTTTTCTCCCTTTTTCTCCAAGTGGGAAAATGACTCCACCGATCTGTGCTGGTGCCCAGAGGTGGGCAGGGGAGGGCAGGAGTGGCTGTGGGGACCCGGGGATCCAGAAGGGACCGCAGCCAGGGAAGCCCCTGCTCCTCCAGCGCTGAGCCCCTGCAGGAGAGGGTGGAGGAATCTGTGAGCAGGGGCAGCCAGGGCTGGGCAGGGTGCGGTCCCGCTGCTCCCCGGGACAGCGACAGCCCCGCCGGGTGCCCCAGGGACAGCCCGCGAGGCTGGGAGAGGGTTTGGGATGGCACCGGGACTGCGGAGAGCCCCTGGCAAGGTTTCCCTGGCAGCCGCTCCCTGCCGGTGCCTCAGCAGTGCCAGGGGCTGTTTGTCACCGCGGGGCCGGGATAGGAACGCGGCCATGCGGGGCTTCCCCTGGGAACCCCCCGGTCCGATCCCAAAGCCGTGTCCCGCTGTGGGACAGCTGCCCGGAGTCCCCGTGTCCTGCAGGGTGGCACCGGGGGGCTGCAGCCAGGTCAGAGCCCCCCAGCAGCTGCCCCTGGCTGCTCCAGCTCGGCCCTGGGGCACTGCCAGCCCTGCCCGGGGCTCTCCCGTTCCCCGCAGGGCTGCGGGCAGGAGAGAGGCGCTCCCGCAGCCCGGGAGGAGATCAGGGCAGTGCAGTCACTGAAGGGAGAAGGGGCTCAGCAAAGCTCCAGGAGAGGAGCCTTTGGCAGCCCAGCCCAGCCTTGCCTTGCCTGCAGCCCCCAGGGGGAATCCTGCTTTGGGTTAAGTTAACGAGCGATGATTTCATTGCTACATCTCCAGCTCGGCCTGCTTAGCTCTCCCAGTCTCTGCAGCAGCTGGAGAGCACCCCTGGGTGCAGGGTGTTGTGCTCAGGGCTGGCTGTGCCTGGATTTGCAGCACCTCCTGTCCCCACGGCTGGCACTGGTGGCACCGGTGCATTTGGGTGCTGCAAAAGGGCCGTGGTGACACTGCCACCGTGCCCAACCCGCTGTGGGCAGAGCAGCTGGGCAGCTC